CGAGGCCTCGCCCCGAGTGCCCTCCCTGCTTGGGACCGGCTCCCGCGCGCAGGAACAGGGCGTCCAGTTTTGCTCCCCCCCCGAGCAAGCGGGAGGGCAGTATACCGGGACGGATTCAGGGGAGGGCACCGACGTGGCCGGGGGCTTCAGCGCGTGATGAAGGCGGCTGAAGCGTTTGTTCAGCTTGAAAAAAGAGAAAGTTAAGGGGGAATCCGCTGGTTTTAGCTACCTGGAGAAGGTTTTAGAGAAAATACAGCCAAACTCTACTCAGAACACAATGAAGAAAAAGAAGCCCTACACTGTAGCTTCCATTTCCTCCATCGCAGATTATTTCACTTTAGTCCAATTCCTACTTTTCTAAATCCAAGTACTAAGCAAAACCCTTTTTCAGTTAGAAAAAGAAACTGAAAATGGAAATTAAAATTAAATTATTTTGATATCCTATTTATTGGATAGGAAGATATAAAGCTCTGGTCCCCAGGACATTGGTGAGGTCAAATGGTAGGAGACCATTTTCTTGTTCACATCCCACCGTTTTCTTTCAGCCTATCCAGTGAGAAGATCTTACTCAGACCTTTTTCCAGCTGCCTGTTTTTCTCCCTGTATCTGTCTCTCCCTTTCTAAACTGCTTCTCTAACACTGCACCACTATCCAAAACAGAAAGGAAGAAAACCCTCTGTCCACGTAGTTTTAATTCTTCAGTAGAGTCAAAGATCTGTCTGTATCTAATACATGTGGGTTTTTATAGTTTAAGCTTATGTTATTTCCTATGCTTAACACAAATCAAATGGTTTTAAACATGGTTTAATTGACCTGAACACTGCAAACGAGGGGCCTTTCCCCTCTTTCTGTGTCTTCTCATAATTAAATTTGAAGAGATGAACACAGCAAGGATACTTTTTCCTCCCCTCACAGTTATTGTTTCTTTATTTCTCTTTTCACAGATTGAGAAACTGAAGCAGGAGCTGATTGATTTGAAACAGCAAGTGCAAGAAGAGAAGAAGCAGCTGGTGAATGAGCTTTTCTCTTCGTCCTCAGAACGGGATCTTCTGTGCAGGCTGAATAGCAGTTCTGATTTTAGTATGACAACAAGTTATGGCAGTTAACTGTTACAGGTTTTGATGCAAAAATGTTGCATGAAGAAAGAACTTGAAAAAAACAATGGTGATGTGGGAGTTCTCCCATGACTCTGTAGTATTATTTCAGATAGTAGTAGGAATATTTTATAGCATCTGAAATAGTATTAGGAACCGGCTGGGTAATGGTGAGGCTAGAGGCACAGCAAAAACGGTTTCATTTTTACTGAGATAAACAATAGCTACCTTGAATTCTTTTATAATTCTCCTTCATTCATTGCTGTTGAACCAAGAAGTCTTAAAAAGAACTGAGAAAATCATTATCTCTTAATCTGGCTTCAATAAGAAACACAGAACTGTGGTCATCTGCACTTTAAGACAGCTATCTCGCATCAAGCAGACTCCACAAGGAACTTTCTCTCACCCTCAGATTATAAAGAGCAGAAAAGGCTATAGATGATAGATGTGGTGGGTTGACTGTGGCTGGACTCCAGGTGCCCACCAAAGCCGCTCTATCACTTCCCTCCTCAGCTGGACAGAGGAGAGAAAATATAATGAACGGCTCATGGGTCAAGATAAGGGCAGGGAGATCACTCACCAATTACCGTCACGGGCAAACCAGACTCGACTTGGGGAAATTAATTTAATTTGTTGCCAATTAGAAGTCAGAGTAGAGTAATGAGAAATAAAAACCAAGTCTTAAAACACCTTCCCCCTATACCTCCTTTCTTCCTGGGCTCAACTTCATTCCCGATTTTTCTACCTCCCGCTGCGTGGTGCAGGGAGACGGAGAATGGGGGTTGCGGTCAGTTCATCACACATTGCCTCTGCTGCTCCTTCCTCCTCACACTCTTCCACTGCTCCAGCATTTGGTCCCTCACATGGGAGACAGTCCTCCATGAACTTCTCCAACGTGGGTCCTTCCCATGGGCTGCAGTTCTTCATGAACTGCTCCAGCGTGGGTCCCCCACGGCGTCACAAGTCCTGCCAGCAAACCTGCTCCAGCATGGGCTCCTCTCTCCACGGGTCCACAGGTCCCGTTGACCTCCATGGGCTGCAGGGGGACACCCTGCCTCACTATGGTCTTCACCATAGGCTGCAGGGGAATCTCTGCTCTGTTGCCTGGAGCACCTCCTCCTCCTCCACTGACTTCGGTGTCTGCAGGGTTGTTTTTCTCACTCCTTTCTTCCCCCTGCTGTTGCGCAGCAGTTTTTCCCCTTCTTAAATATGTTATCACAGAGGTGCTTTGCTGATGGGCTCAGCCTTGGCCAGCGGCGGGGCCCGCTTTGAGCCGCCCAGCGGCGGGTCCACCTTGGAGGCAGCTGGCATTGGCTCTATCGGACACAGGGGAAGCTTCTAGCAGCTTCTCACAGCAGCCACCTCTCTAGCCCCTCTGCTACCAAAACCTGGCCACGCAAACCCAATAGAATGATATTATGGACTTTATGCTTTAAACTTACTATTCATTTCTAGACTTGTTCTTTCACTAGAAGGTAGCTTCTGCTGATTTTGCAGCATTTCTTCTAATGATTAATTCCTTGTGTTTTTTAAAACACTGCAGCTCGGTATAATTTCAGACTTTCAGTTCTGTGTGCTCTGTTTTATGTTACAATATTTGATGATTGGTTTCTCTCATTTTGTTTCCTTCTTATTGAGAATTTCTGTTTTGCAGGCAGACTATTATGCACAACAAATAAAGGAACTGGAAGAGAAATTTCAGAAAAAAGTCGGAGAAATTGGCCAAATTCAATTAGAACTGAAATTAATAAAGGAGTTCCACAGGGAGAAAGCAGCTCTGGAGAAAGAGCTGGAAGATGTAAGTTTGTCACAAATATGCATTTGCAATATTTATTTAAAAAGCAACTTTTCTGTCTTCATGGCAGCATAGAGTTTGGGGGTGGAAGAGAACAGACATGGCCAATCTACTGGATTGTTTTCTTTGCAGTTTACAGCGTGAGGAAAAGGACTAGGTTGATAAAATGCAAGTTCTGTAGCCAGAACTCACTTCTGTAATGGTCCAGTGCTGTAGGGTTGTTTTTGGTTTTTTACATAGTAACATAAAATCATACAAACATATATGTGGATGGACTAGAGCACCTAGTACACACTTTAAAGGTATGTATGGAGGAGCTAGCAATTGACTATAAGCAGTATAAGTCTGACTGATTTCTCACTACTCAGCTCAGTTAGGATGTGAACGCTAGTATTGTATCATCTTTTCAACCACATAAGCCATTTAGAATGTAAAACTAGGGACTGTCTTTCACTAAGCACTTATACAACACATAACCTAATCAGAAATACTTTGGAGCTGTCATAGAAATATTAAATAGTAGTATTGACTGTAAAACATTTCAGCCTGGGATAAAAAAGTATCCTGGTTGACTGATGACACGAAATGTCCCTTGAGCAATGTAAGTGCCTTACTGACTCAGCTCTACTGGAATTTTTTTCAACCACAAGAAGGGGCTTAGAAACAACACCAAATGCTTTCTGTGGAGACAAATGATTGGTCAACAGCATTTGGATTATTAATGTATAGCTGCTTTTAAGTTAATATATCAAATGCCAGTTAAGCATTTTTCAAAGAACGCTTGAGGTGTTGGACTTTGAATGATCTTGATGACTGAATGAATAGACAAAGTAAAGCACATTTCTAAAACTAAGTATTAAACAGAGTGACAGTATGTGAATGACTGTCAGTGGTGTGAAAATGTGGGCACAGGTGAACTATAAAGGGGAAGCAAAGCAATAATACAAGTCAGAAAGTTAAGTGAATTTTATAGATAGTGTAAAAAATTGATGAAGACTGTGGGTAGTGCCAGGAAAGACTACCAAATTCCTTCTTGAAGAGTACATCCATACTTTTTGTTATATGGCTGAAATAAAACGCCATTATTAAATAAATTTTATTTTTTATCATAGTTAAAAGAGAGTATGGAGATTTCAAACAGGAGACATCAGGAAGTGGTTATGAGATTGGAGAGGAGGTTTGGTGAAGAAAAGGTAAAGACTGACAGGCAGTTAAAGAAACTTTTATTAGAAAAAAATGAAGCAAAGCTATGAAAACTTGGTACAGACCCGTAAGAATTTTACAGCTTAGCTCTGAAATTAGGACACTGAAGTATTGATTTTAATATAAAAAAAGCAAGAAAGGTTGTGATTAAGGCTCTTGGATTTTGTTTCCCTCTGTTCAGGCAGCTGGACAGCACTGGGGGAGAGGTGTTTAAGGAGAATATTCGTCTTCACAGTGCATTTGCTTACCAGCTGAGAGAGACAATGGAATTGCAGAAAATCAAACAGAAGTTAGAAGAGGACAAAACTCTTCTGTTAAAGGAGAAGGTTTCTGCTCTGGTTTTAATTCTGTTTCATTCTCCTCCAGGAAGGGGTACATCTGCATACGGATGTGAATTTACTGAGACTAACCTCTTCCTGGTCAGACGCCTCCGCAGTTACTGAATTCGGAGTTGTCTGAAGAAGAGCACTTATTCTATCTTAATTATGGAGGAGAAGGAAGGAAGAGTTTCCTATGCTAGCCCATTAAGAATAGGTGTCTCTGCAATGTATACTACATACCAAGCTTTCTTTATCTGGCTTCTCTTGAAAACAAAAACCTGATCCCAGAGAAGTATTCACTCTCGAGTGTGAAGGTGCCAGCATGTTTACTACATTGTCAGTGTTGAGGGGGAAAAAACCACCTCCAGATTTGGTGCAAATGAAATAAAAGCCCAAATAATTTCTTCTCATCTTTTAGGAAACCAATGAGGGTTTGATTCAAAAAAAGATCCTACAGATCAGTTGCCAGAAAGCACAGATTAGAGATCTGCAGCGCAAAGTGGAAAAGCTGAAGATGGCCGTATGTCGCATGACCAGAGAATCCATGAGAGAGACTCAGAAAACACAGCATCAGGTGCTGATAGAAAACCAGGCAAGCATGGTGGAGATCAAGAAACTGCAGCAACTACTAGAAATGAAGGATCGGGAGATGAACCGAGTGAAGAAACTAGCCCGGAATATCTTAAATGAGAGGACTGAGGTGGAAAGGTTCTTCCTAGATGCTCTGGAACATGTGAAGCAGGAGATCATATCCAGTAGAAAGCACTATAAGAAAAAGGCCCAAACTGCCTATTACAGAAAGATGATGGAGGCATGTGCAGGGAAGGAAGAATTTCCCAAAATCAAAACATTCAAAAGCAACAAAAATAGCACAAATAGTGTGTACAGAGACCTAGAGGAAGCAGAGAAATGCTACTGGTATTGAAACACCAAAACCTAATGTCTATCTTCCTAGCACACCTGAAAAAACCCTTTGTGTGACAATATTGTCTAGATTTGGAATGCTTGTGGAGGCTTCTGTAGTGAGAATAACTGTATGAGGTGTAATATCCTATCAATTAGAAATGACCTTGTGGGCACCTAATTTCAACTAGGCTATCACTTTTTGGTCATTATTTCTATGGATTAAATTAAAGATAAGCTCAAAAGAGTTCTTTACCTATTCTGCCGTGTGCTATGGAATTTGCCATAGAACTTCTCGTATGGATGTGCTTCCGCAGTTTCCTTTTAATAATTATTGTTACTTCTTTAATCTTTTTGGTTTTATAGGCATTGCTCTTCTGGCATTGCTCTTTTGCTTTTTACTCACTCCAGTGAGCTAACAACACTGAAGCCTAAAAATACAATTGAGATGCTAACAGCTCTTTATTATTTTGCTGATCATTTTAACAGAAACATCTGTGGATGGCAAATCCAGCCTTTTTTCAACTGTTGTTCCATATATGTCAGAAGCCTCTGCTTTGCATTGTGCTTTCAATGTTTTCCTCAAGCTTCATAATAATCTAAAAATTAAGCCATTACATGAAATAGTCACCGACATATCAAAACCAAGATCACATGCAGTACAGTACTGATTGACAGGATTACATTTTATAGTGAATAAAACAAAATCTCAGATTTATAAGTGTGAATATCTCAGAATTTGTATTAGGATGCAGCTTAGTTTAAATTAGGGCTACACATGCTGCAGTGGCCAGGATTACAGGTCTCCAACCTCCTGCTAGAAATCTGTGCCTACAAACTGCAGCAGTGTCCAGGCACTTGGATTTTAAGCCATAGGGTTAAGGTCCCTCATAGCTGAAGTTTGCATACATCCTTGCTGAGAGATCAAAATTATCCTACTCCCAAATAAAATGTTTGCTTAGTATGCATTGGCTATTGAATAACTAGGCGACACACAATCAGTCAGAATGCTTTGTTCAGTTCAGGTTATCTTATCTCAAAAATGATACAGCAGAAACACTTCGTGAAAAATCAGAGGTAAAAGTTGTTATTGAGATCTAAGGAAGCTTCTCCTTGGAGCAAGAGAAGGGAGAGACTGGAACTGAGAATGAAAATTGGTTATATGTATTGACCCTTTTATTTATGAACAGGAGAAGCAAGGGAAGGACAATGTGCTTGAAACTAATACACATTAGTACTAACCCTCCCCCTCCCAGTATTTATAACCACTACACGTGTAACAGAAATCATTGGTTTTGTTCTACTTAGTTTAGAGAGCCATAGATTTAGAAGTCGAAAAGACAGCGCTGCATGCCTAGATTTATTTTTTGAATTTACATGCTATGAATAGCTGAACAAGAGCAATGCAGAGCTAGCATTTAAAACCTGTTTTACACATAAAGAATCCATGAGAGATATGCCTTTGAAACTTTCTTCTAATACATCGATCTTTTCTATGTTTTTCAGGGAAAAAATCCAGTTTGAAAAAGTGGATATCAGTGAGTTGACATGGGAACAAAAAGAACGTGTTCTGCGATTGCTTTTTGCCAAAATGAATGGCACAAATCCATGGTAATACTCTTGTTTCTTCAGTAGGTGAATGCTGAACTTTCCCCGTTACAGGAGCTGGGCTGATAACTCCAGGTCAGGGGATTGCAAGAAACCCTGAATCTAACATAAGAATCTAACTAACTGTGTGGCTTGGTATGAGATACTTTAACCTTTTGAAAAAGGTGATTTAATCTTTTGAAAAAGTTGACATGCATGGATTTAACTCCTTTTATCAGTATTTGCCAACATACAAGAGCACACATAAAGCTGTAGAGTATGAAAGCTTGAGGAATGGAATACAAACACTCATTTTAAGTTGACTTATGATTAAACCCAGTTTTTTAAAAAAAAGTTTTTTGTTTCTCCTCATTCCCTTTTAATTGTAATTGATTTTGCCGTAAAATACAGAATTCCATAGTGAACTGAATTCATGTTTGATTCATAGTGCTGATTTTGGACAGTGTACGGCAACAGCTCAGGTGCCCTGGCATTTCTTGCTTGCTGTCTGTTTTAGAAAACAAGTTTGGTGTGGGATTAGAAACCTGGCTGAGCGTCAGTCACCCTTAGATGACAATTACTTTGCTCTTGTGTCTTCCTCACAGGAAATACACCAGAGTTTTGGCTACTTCAGCTCCAGCTCCTGACGATACTAAAGAAAAAAGCAAAATTCGGTAAGATACCAAATTATATCACATTATCTAATATCTCCTCAGTTCTGGTTATATATAAATGGATGCAATTGTCTCTGTCATCCTTCCCACTTTAGAATACTTTGGCTTGTCTGAAGATCTATATTAGTGTGCTTATACACAAATAAATGTATGTGTGACAAGAAAGATGAATTTTTTATTTATTTTGAAATTTCTGGTCATGTTTATCTTTTAGCAGCAGGCACTTAGACTCTGCTCTCATGAAAATAAATTGATCTCATGCTCCCTTAAAGCCTCTTCTTATTGAAAAGCAGTTTTATTATTTTTGGAGGATTCTCTTGTGAAAGGCCACGATCATACAAGGAGGCGCGTTTCAGCTAGCATAGCAAGTTTTGATTGAAAAGCAAAATCTGTTAAGCTGATGTTGCGTTCAGTATAGAATCACTTTGAGATAATGGACCAGGATGAAGATTCATATGCCTGATTTTCAGATATAGACTCAGATACAACTATATAGCTAATTATAACACTCCAAGGCAAGCAATATCAACTTACACTGGAGGAATAAGTAGGGAGGGATTCTGGCATGCCATCATGCCAGACATGAGGCAGTCAAGCACACAAACCAAAATGTAATAGTCAGACGTCAAATGACCAGATAAAAGTTCATAAGCAGGAGCCCTGGAGGGATTTATATGGAAAGATGAGAGACACCTCCTTTGGAGAAGGAGACCGCCACGTCCAGAAATGGGAGTGGAAGTGAGTTGTAGCCTTTTTTTGCACAAGACGGGGAAAAAAAAAGAAGTGGAAGTCACAGGGCCCAATGCTCAAAGGTGGTTAAACTATTTTAACATAAATTTTGGACTTGAGAGTATCAAAAAGCTTTAAGAATCTAGACTGCAGTGCCTTCTAGGCAAGAAACAATTTTTAACAGGAGACAAAGGGTTGACTATAAAATTGTATTTTAATAGAATCTAAAGAAATTTATTATGAGATATTTTATACTTAGATTATATTTTTGTATAATACAGAAGATATATTCTTTAGCTTTTTTTTTATAGTGAATGTTGAAATAAAAAGGAGAATAAACAGGTGGGTGGAAAGCAGTAACAGCAGTGAGATGAGGCAGGTACATAATGATCAGTCAGCATCTGCAGCTTGATCTAAAAAGGGATTTCATTAACTAAAAAAGGCAGATACAAGATTTGTATTTCTAGTACAATTATTTAAAATAATCTCTTTAAAAAATGCTGCTGGAAATGCAGATGATCAGAAAAGATGTTTGTGCACAAATGAAAAGATTGTACAAGTGTCTAGAACAGGCCTGGAAAAAGTGCAAGGATACTTCTGCAATTCTTCAGGGAGCAGGGTAAGCTTGATAATAAAGACTGTTTTTGTTACAGGAGAAGCTGGATTTTAGAATTTCTAAAGGAAAGATATAATGGGTTTTAATAGGACAATAGAAAAGTCAGAATAGCAATATTGATTAGGAAGAAAATTAAGGCGTTTCGAAAGTGAGTAACTATAGACAATATTAGAGGCTGTTAATTAGTATTCCTTTCCCAAGTGTATGAATGAATGCCGATGTCTTAATGGTGATTTACCTAGAATATTTTACCTTGCAGCACAGAAAATACTTCTCCCAACCTAATATTCATTACACAGCAGGCCGAATTATCAGATTCATCATCTTCTGCAGTAATCCTTCTGCATATTTAGATGTTAACACCACAGACAGGGCAAGGCAGCTGTACACCTTGCATGAACAACAGCCACAGCAATTACCGACTCATCTGCACTTTTCATTTGGAAGTTATCTTGTGAGCAAAACTGTGAATTCTAAATCTGTCTGCTCCACTGCTGCTTTGACTACGCGTTTGAAATCCATCTGAAATATAGTTATTTTCCTCCTTCTTAAAGTAAAGATTTTATTCTTTCCTAAGCTAGGAGCTCGGATGACCCTGTACAGAGCACTAGCATTTGGACTAGTGGTTAGAACTCTGTATATATGTGTTGCTATAATTTGATGAAGATACATTTTCAGTTTGTGATAAAGTCATTTACGTGAAGCTTAAGAGTTTTTGTGATCAAATGATGTGTATGTGGAAACAAAAACAAGGCATTCCTTGAAATGCTGTATGAGGAAATAGGTACAGAGGTCCTTGAAATACTATAAAAGGAAGATGTATACATGGGTTACAGGAGTCATAGACCAGCCTCTGCAAAGAAGGGAGTAAAGTCAACATCACACCTGTATAATGTCTTACCAAGGAACAGTCATATTCTGCAGAAATGTATTAGCATGTTTTTAATTTGTAACTAAATTGCAAGGTGAGAATTTCCCTGTAGTGTATAGCAGAGGAAAAAAACCAAGATACAAACATTAGTGAATGCACAGCAATTGCACTAATAGATAACTGTCAGTTACAACGCATCTTTACCAGAAGGCAGGATACAAAATGTTCACATTCAGATTGTTTAATTAGAACAAGTAATGGTTACAATCATTAGAGTAATATTATTTTTCGTGGGTGCTTGAATGAGTTCCCTGCGGATCCCTCATGGCTGCACGATCTTCCAGGAACCAGGAATAAAAACATAGGCTCTCCAGCTCCAAATGCACAGATTCTTAAAAACAGGATATACCAAGTCTTATCCTTCTCTAGTAAGGGGACCTGCAGTCCCTAAAGAATGTGACTGTGAGCAAATGTGACAAGGAGTCAATCAATCAACACAAGAAATACAGCTATAGTCAGGAAAAGAAACGAACAGAACAGGCCTGGCTGCTTTGTGATTAAAAAACGTGTTCTTTCCTCCTACGTGTTCTTCCCGTCTACTTACTCTTCCTTCCACCCAGACTCACATGATGCTGTGACGCGAAGATACATATACATGCTTATGTTTCTGCTTCCACATTTTCGTTATGTTAGAGGACCTGTAGGCACGTATCTGTTAGCACAGTAAAAAGGCACCAAACAACTTTCAGGTATAACGGAATTGACAGCAAGCTGGAGAATACAAGCCACATGCACAACAGGAACAGAAGTTTTCAAGCTGTCAGAGGCATGGTAAAGGTCACTGTACCATACAGGAATTTTTTTATCCTCAGACAAGCAATCAAATATGCTTTCCTGAAAAATCCTTAGAAAGCTATTTCCCAAATGTTTTGGAAACTGCTCAACAGATGAAAGACTGACATTTTCAACACTGAAACTTGCTGTCTTCATTGTATGTAAAGTCACTTCTATGAGACACCCAAGGTGTCCCAGTTATGTCACTCAAAATGAGTACTCATCTTTGAGTAAGGTGAACTCAAAATCTTAAGATGTAAGATAAAGAGGTAAAGAAAACTGCTACAAGATGTACCCAGGAGTGAGTCACTAAGGCTAAAGATATTGAAGTGGAAACCAGAGTCATGTTCAAGTTCAGAGGGTCTGGAAAGCAACACAAATTAAGACCAATCTCACTGTCTGCCCTTTCCATTAGATAAGGTTGTTTCCTCTGTGATAGGTTGCAGGAAAAAATTGAGTTCAGCTAGCCAAAAAACACTGACAGCAACAGAAAACACAGACTGTGCGTTACATGAGCCTGCCTGATCTGCACAGAAACAGAGGTCCTTGAGAAAATGGAGCTTTCTATTCATTCCCAAGGAAATTATGATAGTCAGGACAAAGCTGGAAAGTGCAGCATAGGAGAAGGGCACTAGGAACGGCATCTACAAAGGCTGATTTAGTTTCCCATAGTTGGCATAACCACAGCAGGTTTGGTAACGGTGGCATCTTCCTCTTTCCATTGAGAAATGATAGTTTTCAGTTGTGTATAGAACTGTACTCCCTGGAGGAAAGGAGAGATACAACGATCAGATGTTTGGCGTTATGAATTCTTCAGGTCTGCACTTGTGGTGTACCAAACAGTTTTTTCTTTATCTACAGAGGGTCGAGTTTTCCTCTGTGGGAACAATTCCTGTCAGGCTGTTCCTTTTACCAGTTCCCCAAAGATTCTGGTTCTGTGAGAAAGCTGGCTAGTTAGTTCTTGCTCCCTTCTCAAATCTCCTAAAAAAAGACTTGCTTTTTTATATTTAAGGGAAAAAAAAAGGAATTGGCTATTGTAACATGCATTATGGTGGCTGTGATCACTGGCTGGTCTTCAGTTTCCTAGTTGAGACGGCTTCAAAATCTCCTTACTAATGAGGTCCAGTGACCATCTCTCCATTGCCATTTGTAATGCGATTTATCACAATTCAACCCAATAGAGTACTCTCAATCCGTAAGTTACCTGCTTGCCATAGAAATTGGTGTCTCCTCTGAAAGAAGCACGAGAGCCGGTGAAAGAGAACATGGGCAGAGGTACTGGGATTGGAACGTTGACACCCACCTAAGCCAAAGGAAAGCTGCCATATTAATCACAAGAAGTAGCAGATTGCAGAGCACTCTCCAAAAGCTACCGCATTTTGTTTCCTTAAATCTGAGGCTGGGTACTGTTGGCTAAGTAGTCCGTGATTAGTCACTACAGCTGGATGGCTACCCACTGTAAACGGCGAGTACTAATAGCAACAATTCTAGCTTGAACATACCTGCCCCACATCTACTAAGTGAGAGTATTTCCGAGCTGTGGCTCCATTGGTGGTGAAGATTGCAGTTCCATTTCCATAGGGGTTATTGTTCACCATCTCAATGGCATGATCCAAAGTGTCTGCTTCCAGAACCACTAAGACAGGCCCAAAGATTTCCTCCTTGTAGCAAGTCATGTTTGGCTGCCAAGACAAACAGCAGAAAAAGCAGCTTGTATACAGGATATAATAAAAATACCCTAGTAAATAGGATATAATAAACACACATGCTGCTAATGCTCAGGATATTCCTAGGATCCCCCATCATACTGCATTGCCACAGGCCATCCTTCAGTCCTCCTTGCCTTTTCACCACTTCCCATGCCCTGCCATCTATCTAGTCCACTAAAGGGGGTACCACTTTTCATCTCCAGAGCACTTTCTGCTTTTACTGTCTGCCTAACCTCACTTACAGGTCTAGTCTTACCAAGGCTGATTAAGACCGGGATTAATTCAGGATACTTTACTTCAGTTCTTGTTGACAAAGTGACTAGAAGCTGCTAGCCTTTCCAACTCAGTGTCTGGGATTTATGTCTGATAATTAGCAACATCTGACAAATACAAAAACACCAGTTGGAGAGTACTTTAATCACTAATAGCTAATACACCAAACTACAAAACATTCATTAGACAAGTTCTAAGTTTTACGTGGCTTACCATATTATTAACCACTATATAAGAAAACTAAGAATCACAAAATCTCGGTGAAACTTTTACTTTTGAATACCGAACAATATTTATGACACATCACAGTGTGAAAGTGAAGTATTGAAATATGAAAATAAGGCAAGAAAATTCTGAGATAGATTAAAAGCCTGAATTATATAATAGCATAAAAATCAATAAAATCCCAAGAATACAAAGTACAATAGCAGAATTATCAAGATTGCTTTGCTATCATGGAATCACTCACCAAAAGGCCCACGAGGAACTGAACACTTAAATACTAAGGAAATCATACCAGCTAATTGCATAAACAATTATGCATAAAAATTTAGGTATGAAAACTCATGTGGATGTGTACCTGGTAAAGAATATTCCCCCATAGTAGTGTCCATCTGTTGCACACCATGCATTATGTTGAGGGGCTGACTCAACAAAGTTGTGAATATATTCAACAACAAAGAGATTTTGTACCTTATCCTGTACTATTCTCGTGAAGATTTCCACAAATATTTAACTTCTGTTTCTGCAAATCCTTAAATTGCAAACTGCAGGAGTGTGTAACAGAGGTAGGAAAATTGCAAGTTTGGCTATTCATCATACTCTTCCTTAGGCATCTGCTGCTGGCCATTACTACAGATAGTACACTATGCTCAATGGACATTCAGTTTAACACAGTACAAACTGCCCATATCTTCTTTTAATTGGCTGCAATCCGTTCAAGTTAAGACCATTAACCTCATTCAGAGTATGTTGCACTACCACAAATTCTTTTATCACCTCCACAACAGCGTTACAATGAGCACTTCACTGGAATTGTGCAAGGGAAAGCTGAGCCATTTATAGGCTTTCTACCTGGTGATTATTGATTACTGACTGATTTGGGTAACCCATTTTTCAATTGACCCTGCAATATACACTATCAAGCGCTGGTTTTGGTCATTTTACCTTGACATTGGCAAGGATCGTTGGCCCAACAAAATTGCCATTTTCATAGCCCTTCACTTTGATATTACGTCCATCCAGAAGAAGGCTGGCACCTTCTTTTACTCCTTTCTCAATCAGATGGCAAACCCGTTCCTTAGCTTGGGGACTGATTAGAGGCCCTAAATCTGCTCCAGGCTGGTCTCCTGTGAAGAGGCAGAGACACCAAGTTTTTAATCCTGACAGCTTCCTCTTCACAGGCATCATGGAGGTAACTACACTGGCAGGAAAAACATGAAAATCCCAGTGTTTCCGAGACACAGAACAAAGATTTGAGACATTAATGAATAAGAGTAATAGTCTGCAACTCTCATAATCCACAAATAACAGAAGTTGTAAGCATAATTTTAGATCACCAGGAAGCCAAAATTCAACAACAGGTTCTTCTCAGAAAGGAAACTTTTCCCCTTTGCAGGAACATAAAGAAAAGATAATTCTCCTAGAATTAATAACAGTCTAGTTTTTCCAAAGCACTTGTTTCCATTTTTCCTTTTTTTGCATGCTTACTACAAATTGGAAGGATCTCTATGTGAAGTTGCTATATAAATGGTAGGTTTGAGTTAAACGTAGAACATAACCTCAAAGGTCCAGTTAAAACAAGACCGATCCTGTAAACCTTGCATCAGAATCATACTGCCAAGCCCTCCTACGTATTCCTAACTCCAAGTCTAGGGCCGTGTTTCCCAATCCAGACAATCTGCTAGCTCCCACCCCTACACATCAAACCTATGGTGCCAATAGCTCCAAGGGACACACCGTAGTATGGCAGATACACCAACCTAAAAAGCTACAGTTGTACAGAAGTGAAGTACATTGTAAGAAATTACCACAATCTGTACCTGCATTTACACGTAGATTCTTGGCTCTGTCCACAAGCTCTGGCAGCCATTTCTGAGCTTCTCCCACTAGAATTGCTGTAGACAGGGCCATGCAGCGTTGGCCAGCTGCTCCAAAAGCAGCTCCAACCAGCTGGTTCAAGGTGTTCTCTTTATTGGCATCAGGCATCACCACACCATGGTTCTTGGCTCCCTGAAATACAACACATATACAGTCTCCCATTATTAACCACCCCAGCCCACTTCTTCTCTAGCTCTCTGGCAGTATCTTCATATAGTAGCTATGACTCTGATACCAACAGGCTGACAAGAAGGGCAGCCTCATCACTTAACTATCAGTTGCAAAGTCAGCTTCTGCTGCTGAGTGATGTGGTCTCTCTTAACATTCACAGAAGGCAGAGGCAGTCTATGTGCTGAAGTGTGCTCCATTCAGAGGCATTACCATGTTGGCCTGGACTCTCTTGCCATGCCGGGATCCTCTCTCATAGATGTACTCGCCAGCCTGATTAGATCCCACAAAGCTGATTGCTCTGATATCCGGATGGTCACAAATGAAATTCACAGCTTCAAATAGGAAATAATACATTATAACTGTGGTGCACAAATGCTTCCATCTGCTCCCATCCCCACAGTGATAAATCTATGTATCTTTTTTCTATCGAAATTCTTGCCTCTGTGTTTCCTACAACTGAGTTCCCCCACTGCCTGTCTATGCTAATTTCTCAGCATGTGTACTCCTGTCCTCATACACCTGGGTCTCTGCCATCTCTTCACGCTTTCAGCATCTCCTAAGGTGCCTGAGCGATGCCGAAGTGAAGTTACTGTTGTCTGTTTGTATCCTCATGCTCTGAAGCTACTTGTGTGCTGTGAAAAATATCATGTTAGGAGCTAGAATACTGGCATCCACTGCATATTCAGTGAGGCATTTAATTCTTGTTTAGGCTTCCTTGGGAAACCAAGATGATTTATCTACTTATTTCAGTTGGAGCTTAGGTTGCTAAACAGAATTTGAGCACTTACATGCCTTGGGAACTCTGACCCCAGCCCCCAAAATCTTGTCTACCATATCTCCTGAAAGATTTGGTGCAAGATGGCAGAGAATCTCCCAGTCACTTCCCTTCATTTCCATCAAAAGGGCTGAAGCATCTGTCCAAACCTAACAGCAGCAGTATCAGACTCTCCAAACGGTACCTCCACTGAACATAGACCACAACACAACACTTAGACACTCCAGCCATCTCCCAAGAAGGGCTATTATTACCTTCATGTTGTCCATGGATGATATTCAGCGTCCCATCAGGGGCTCCAGCATCCTGGAACAGCTTGGCAAGGAACATGAGTGCTCCTGGTACACGCTCAGATGGTTTCATCAAGAAGGTGTTTCCACAAACCATAGCCATGGGGAACATCCAAAGAGGAATCATGGCTGGGAAATTGAACGGTGCAATTCCTGCACACACGCCCAGAGGCAGACGGTAGGTGTAAGTGTCCATGTCTTTAGTGATGGAGGGCATGGTCTCTCCCAGTATGAGGGATGTCACACTGCAAGCATGTTCAACCACCTCTGCAGCAGAAAGGGCAATATGCCACTGGATGACCTGTTAACAACTAGTCCCCGAACGCCCTTCTCACCACTGCCTTGACCCAAGTCTTTCTTCCAGCCTTTTTTCCCACAACTTAAAACCCACTGTGCTCCAGAAAATCCCCAAGCACTGTGAGCTCATTGTGAATGGATTCTCTCTTGCGTGCATTATATGTCATTGTGATAGGAGCACAGACAGAACAGCCCCAGTAAAAGCAGCACAGGTATGGTATTATTGTACCACCTGGGACTCAACCTTAGACATCTGAGCACAAGCGAGAAGTTCTTATCCCTTTACAGTAATTTGTAGTCACTCCTAGGAAAAGGAAGGATCTAACAACTTGGAAATGATTTAAGGAAACTCTATCTAAAGGAACTTTTCAGGTTAGAGTTACAATTGCCCCTTTTCTTTCAGTAGGAGGCTATGAAGGGAGCTACACATACAGAATCCCGGAGCAATCAGTTGCTCAGGAGACCTCCCTTCCTATGGGTTCTCAAAGCCCCTTTTTTAACAGGAGGAGCCAGCAGCTTACGGAGGCCTCGGAACACATCTCCCTCAGCATCAGCCAGGGTCTTCCCTTGCTCATAGGTGATGAGTTTTGAAATTTCTTTCTGAAAATGGAAAACACGAAGTTTATGAATGTTAGAAAAGTGTCTGCCCATGAAATAGGGTGCAGGGATAAGACAGTTTAACGGAGAGTTGAACATCACAATGCACAGACTGAACAGAACCTGGAAAAGCCTACAATGACTGATTTGCTCCTTGTAGACAAGAAGCCAATAAGCCACACAGGTGACATCTTAGAAAAAACAACCGTGGGTTGGCTTGTATTCTACAGCTTTGAGGTGTCACACCACGGACACACCGAAAAAGCAATCAGGAAATCCAAAGACATAGTAACATACTTCTCTCACTTGTCTTTATCAACTGGCACATTCTCCATCAAGGCTGAAAGTTCCTCTTGTGGTCTTTTGGTAAAGGGACAAATGCAGAATAATATTCCCTAAGAAGCACTGCCTCTCTGTCCCCATTTGATGGAGAGTGCTTTGCTACACCTCACCTCTCAACGACAGTGTCTCAGTTGGCTCCTCAATCATGGCAACAATGCCTCATCAAGAACTCTGTAAACCCTCAGTCTCTCAATTTCATTCCTAAAGTCAACTGCAATGCATTCAGCAACAGCCATCACACACAGCCATGGTGTCTCACCAGATTGTCTTTGATGAGTTGTTGATAACGCAGGAAAATTTGCTGGCGACTCAAAACAGATGTTTCTGACCAGTTCCAAAATGCCTTTTTGCAAGAAGCCACAGCTGCCTCCATCTCACTGGCTGTGGCTTTTGGTACACGGCCAACCACTTCATTTGTGGCCTGAAGGAAAAAACAAACTGCATCAAAACTCAGGTTTTTCCATCTGTCCCTGCCAAGCATTCAACGGTCCTTTCACACCACACACCTAATATCCTTGTTCTACAAGGAGCTGTACTTCTGAGGGGAAAGCACAAAAGAGACTCCTTCCCTGGTGCACTCAAAAGGCCTGGGCTACAACTGGAATAGTTCTGAAAACCTGCACTCTACACATCTCAAATTAGGCACCCGGAAAGCTGCAAATGGAGTGCTGATTTCCAAGCTGGAGTTGAAGTGACTTGTCTATCTTGAAGCTTCTAGAGAGTATAAGGCAAAGGTTTCTGTGGACTGTGGTCTTTTCCCTCTGCATCATCTCCGCTCATCTGCTGTCCCTCTTGTGCATTAAATGAGGCAAGGTTCCTTTGGAAAAAGCAGTACATATCTGTGCAATTGGCAGTGATGTTAGTTTACCTAGGCCAAAGTAAGATTTTTACAAGCAACCTTAGCTCTACAGTATTTTAACTTTAAAAGCTTGTCTTTGCCAGTTTAACCTCCTTCTAATGCACTCTTAAAAATTAAGTCTGCTTTGACGTGACAAAAACATCAGGTAACTCATTAAAAAAGAAACTACTTAAAACAAGAGAAAGAAAATTAAACAAGAACATTGGTCGCCACATGGAGACCAAATGAACTTCATGAACATGGCTCGCTGCTCTGGTCACTTCCACAAAGCAAACCAAAATAGGGCTTTACAGAGAAAAGTTTTAGTAACTGCTGTCTAGGGGGATCAGAAGGGTCAGAATTCTCAGTGCAGCCTCATTTCCATTTGTCTTTGATGGAGGACTCAGACAAGTACAAGTGCTACTAATCTATGATTATTTTGTACTGCATAGCATCCAACCTGTAAATTCACTGTGAATATTGTGGCTCACAGACAGAAGCTCTCTGAAAGGAGAGGAGCTTCAGCTGTCAGGATTTTTTACCTTGGTCTGACAGTGAAATCAGTCTCTATCAGGACTTCATATTCAGCTGGCATCAAATCACACCCAGTTGATTTCACATACTGGGTAAAAGAAACCCTTCAGAAATTTGACATACTGATCACGGAGCCTTTCTATGAGGAAAAACATGTAAGTGGAGTTTAAGCTTCCTTTCCGGGGATCAGGGTTTTACTACACAGGGGAGATAAAGGAGGTCACCACTTATCCTAAGACTGACATTTCATGTGAAAAGGAAATTGAGAAGCAATTACACAGTGCTAAATCCATCTTAAGCTCCAAGCCTAAACCTTTCTCAAGAAATGTATGTACTTTCCCCTTTTGCCAAATGCTTGAACAGAGGCACAGACCCTTGTTGCACAGTGATCGCTAATATATAAGCTGAGACCATTTCACTTACCGGGTTGTGGATATCAATCCATTCAGTAGTTTTGGACTCAACAAATTTCCCATCAATGAAGAGTTTGGTTGTTGGCTGTGGAGGACAAAACACTGGACAGTGAGTGATCTTTGTCTCAAGGTGCCTAAATACCAGTGTGCCTTATTACATGCAAACCTTCATCATTTACCGCTATGCTGCCCACTAGGGAGTCTAGATCCAGTATTTACAGCAAGAACCAGCTAACTGCTTAGGCTGAAATTTTTCATGCTCTCTGCCCCATTTTTCTCTCACTTTACACCAAAATGGCCAAAATTCTTTCTAAAAGCAATTCTAGAAAAAATACATTGCTATGCTTATGTTCAGAACTATTTCAATCTACTTAATCACCCAATGTTTACTAAGTTAGAAAACTGAAAAACCGCAATTCATACACGTTCAGAAGAAACAGTTAATAATTCACCTTGTGAGAATTCCATGTACCCAGTGCACACTGTACTATGTGTTTCCTTCCCATCAAGCCACTAAGTAGGTTCATCTCTCCAGCTCATAGCTACAGGCATAAAATTGGACTTTCCTCGCTCCCCAGTTGGTCCTGCAACTAAGAGGAAGGAACCTGCATCTGCCGAGTTCACAGTGTCTGTCCTGGCAGGCAGCACAGAAAACAGAACTTTCCAACTCAGATGCAGAGGAGAGAAAAGGAAAGTTGGGAATAAGGAGTTCAGGTGAACGTAGGGCAGAAGGAAAAGCAGAAGTAGAAGCTGTAACTAGCACTGGATAGGTAACAAAACTGTATCATGCAGGAAAACAGATTGGGACTGTACAAATTAAGAAACTAGAAACTAGGAGTTGATATTGGGAGGTAAGGAGAGAACTAGGAGAAAGCGAGAACCGGTTAATTGTGCCACAAAACAGTGGCTTGGGGAGAACAGATAAGAGGAAGGGGAAACGGATCTGCTGTGTTGAAGAACAGAAATGGGACAGATCAACAGAATGGGGATATAAACGCAAATATATAAGAGGAGTCTGTGAAGAAATTAGGATGTGGAATTATGAGAGGGAGATGAGGACTGGGATGCTATCCAAGGTGTAATGAAGGG